TTAATTAGACTAAAATTTATTAAAGAAAAGGGAGAGCGAATTGGTTAAAAGATCCGTGTACATTCAGACATTAGTCAGTCTTGAGATTCAAATTCATAGCAGAGATGGTGAGCTTTGTAGATGCAAATAGTTCTTTTAGAAATAGGTTATAGTTATAGTCCAATGTTATAGGTTATAGTCGAATGTTTGTATTCAGAGCGGTCCAGTCAGAGCTGGGATCTCAGTTCTTGAGGCTTAGGCTTCTCCTGCATGAAGCCGCAAGCAGATCTGAGATGACAGGATCAGGACCCAATCCATTTTTTTATACAGTATCAGGCCTTCTTTGACAGCTCGGAGTACCTCAGTGAACAATAGACCCTCATTTCCTAAGTGTCAGGGGTAATTATCCACATGGATCAACATCAGGCAATTGCCTGCTTTTCCACCATTCACAGATGATTTGCTATACATTTCAAAGAAAGATGAATACAGCGATATCCTAGGTTTACAGTTCATTTATGTCCCTTTGATCTCTGAATTAATAGAATATGGCATAGACAGCGACTGTTTGATCACATTGTTGATCACCATCAATATATATGTAAATACACAAAAACACAAACATTATCTTCCCATATGTCTTTAAGGGTTGAATTTGTGTGAATGACATCCTACAGGATGCTTAATCATTTCCCATCATGCGTCACACTTGGCATGTGGGTTTACTGGCTCTATGGTTGCACTACAATGTGGTTGACACAAGTTACATCAGCGTACAGCTGCCAATGGTTGTATATCACGCAGGCACATTCATGCTCGGCAGTGTGCATCAGCACTGCACATGCTCACCAGGAGGGCTGTGCCAGTGCCGCACAGGTAGGCATCCCAGCGCAATGCCTTCTTGGAAATTTTTGCAATGTGTTTTGGGATATAAATCACTAGGAATCTCTGGAATCTAGGGGTCACATTCCCAGCATGCAACTTTCTCCCGCCCATAATGTCATCCATATCCCATAATTTTCCTACTATTTTAAAAAATCCCACAAACCCACATGGCACTTCCCAGTCTTTGCCATATCTGACAGAAGCATGGAGCCCACAGAAGTATGCACTGATCTCATGAATGTGGCAAATACAGGATGCACCATGCTCCAGGATTTGCAGGGCTACAGGAAGAACGGCAACAACGGGGGACATGACCATTTCTCAGAAGACAGTTTGCTAAGGGACATAGCAAAAAGCACCTTAGGGTTATTGGTGGCATCCACGGAGCAGCAACAGATGGTGGAGCGCTGATTCGGGGCCTGAGAATGAGCACTGATTGCTGGGATTGCACCGTCATGCAGGTTTGGAAAGATGAGCAGTAGCTGCAAAATGTTTGGCTGCCCAAGGCCACATTCCTGGTTCTGTCTGCTGAGCTCACCCCAGCTCTTTCGCACAGGGACACCAGAATGAAAGCTTCACTGACCATGTAGCAATGAGTGGCAATTGCACTCTGGAAGTTTGCAATGCTGGATTGCTACCAATCATTGAAAAATCACTTTGAATCTGAAAATGCACAGTGGGGCCGTTGTCATGCAAGTGTGTAGGGCCATTAATCACCTCCTGCTCTGTAGGACTGTGACTGGATGGATTTGCAGGTGTCTGTTCCTTATCTGCAGTGAGGCAACAGAAAGGGCTGCTTTTCTATGGTTATGCAAATATTGGTGGCTCATCACAACACCTCACCGATATCAGTGTGTGCTGGTCGAGGAAGGTGCCTGACACTTGCATCCTTAAGAACTCAGGACTGTTCAGAAAGCTGCAAGCAGGGACATTTTTTTCCTGACCTGGATATTACCATTATTGTCACTATTAAAATGCCAATAGTGATTCGGGGGAACCAGCCTACTGCCCTGGTTCATGAAGCCGTACACCGGCCACCAAGACAGCACCAAGGAAAGAGTCAACCACCAGCTCTACAGGTTCAGAACAACAGTGGAATGTACTCTTGGTAGACTGAAATGGTGTTTACTCACCAGATTGGCTCTCAGTAAGAAAATGATCCCCATGGTTATAGCTGAGTAGTATCTTGAGGCAAAGGAGGAAAAGCTGACACTCAGGTGGAGGGCAGAGGTGGAGTCTGCTGACTTTGAACAGTCAGACATAAGAGCCATGGAACTGTGCAGTTGACTGTTCTCTGGGCCTTGTGCTGCTGAGAACTGTGCAGTGCTTGCTGCACATTTATAAATATGACTGGGTGTGTTGACGCTATTGTGAGGGTGCTGCCCGTGGGAGCCAGCTGAGGTCAGTCAATTAGAGTGAACTGCAAACAAAACGGGGCAGACAAACCCCAAACGCTGGTGGATATTCCAATACTTAGATTTACGAAGCCAGCACAGAACAGCTAGTACCTCACTGGTTAGTACCTCACTGGTTAGTTAGAAATTCAAACAATGCAGTTCCCTTAAAGTACCCAGCCTCCGTCCAGACACACATGTCAGATATGATGATTACGGAAAATCTTATCTCATCATATAACAGAAAAGGTTCTTCCAACCCCAAAGGATCAGCCACATACCCAGGTCTAATTATAACTTAATTCTTACCCAAAATCCACGCTTATAATCAATTCTTATTAACTAAAATAAAATTTATTAAAAAAGAAAAGAGAGTGTTGGTTAAAAGATCAATATACATACAGACTTGAATTCAATTCTTGAGGTTCAGATACATAGCAGAGATGAGCTCGTATTTGCCAAAAGTCCTTTTAGAAATAATCCATAGATTATAGTCCAATATCCATATTCAGGGTGACGCCAGTCAGTGACTGGGGATCTCAAAGCAGATCTGAGATGCAGAAGGATCGTGTCCCAGGGTTCTTATACATTTCCAGCAGCCTTTTGGCCTGAGAAAACAATAGGCTTAACGCTCCTTCTTCCAAACATCCTGGCAATTAGCACAGGGTAATTTATCCATTAAAAAGTTCAGATACAGATTACCACAACCTTCAAAGAGACATATAGACACTAATACTATTTCACTCAAGTATCTTCCTAAATGTTAATATTCCCTTTTTGATCTTTGAATCAAAGCTATAGCAATAGACAAGACTTCTTTGCTTACGTCACAAGACCTGAGCAAACACCTACCCGTCTACCTCTAACAATGCAGACTTGCATTTCAAGGCTCTATTCATTTATATATCTTCCTAACCAGTTTCTAAAATTCGGATATGGGTGAGGTCAGTCTGTGAGTTAATTAACTCTTTCTGGTCCTGTCACCTTCCCGTGAAATATTATATTACACTCATAACGTCACAGCTATGAATTCTATGCTGTTTGCTGTACATTTCCAAGCACTGTGTGCTTTGAGTGCTGCTCTGCACGCTGCACTATGTGCCGTGAAGTATTCTCCAAAAATAGAACTTTATGAGAGGGGAAAACAATGGGTTAGGGTTAGTCCAGAGCCTTCCCCATACATCCCTCTGTCCCACAGGCTACAAACTGGCTTCCTCTCTGCAGACAGCCTCTCCTTAACTCTCCCGTGCCTCTTCTTCATGTGTGTGATGGCAAAGTAGACTCACTGGATGAGCCAGTGACTACCATGCACTGGACACCAGAATTACTTTAATTCCAGAATTAAAGTATTTCACCTTTCCAAATATTCTTCAAGAAGTGCAATATTGCTTTTTTCATAGGGCCCCATTCTCTAGACACTCTCGCTAGGTGCTGCAGCAAAAAATGTGATACTTTAAGGCCTCTATGTTTTTCATATAAATATCTTCTTTCATGTCCCACTCTGCACTTCCAAAGCTTTATACAGAGTAAAACGGATTAATTTGGGGTTTGGATCCTGTTGAAAGCTGGGTGTCTGGGAGCTGGTGTCAGGTAACCAGCAGAGCTGTTTTCACTTAAACCATGCAGCTTTGGGGGCATGGCCAGGACCCTGGGTCTGTGTTGCAGCAGGCTAGTGTGTCTGGTTCAACAAGGCAGGGTTCTGGAAGTCCCAAGCTGGCAGGAAAAACAGGCTCCAAGGTAATTTCAGCGTATCAGATGACAATCCCAAGGGGATCTCTGTGACCGAACCCGTCACAACCAGTTTCTGGCAAAAAGAGGCTCGGGATTTTGAAGCACTTCAAGGAGATGAAGATGATCAGGAACAGTCAACATGGATTCACCAAGGGCAAGTTATGCCTGACCAATCTGGTTGCCTTCTATGATGAGCTAACTGGTTAGGTGGACAAGGGGAAAGCAGTAGACCTGATATAGCTTGACTTTAGCATCGCTTTTGATACGGTCTCCCATAGCAGGTTAAAAAAGTATGGATTGGATGAATGGACTATAAGGTGCTAGAAAGCTGGCTAGATTGTCGGAGTCAATGGGTAGTGATCAACAGTTCGATGTCTAGTTGGCAGCCGGTATCAAGCGGTGTACCACAGGGTTTGGTCCTGGGGCCGGTTTTCTTCAACAGCTTTATTAATGATCCGGATGATGGTATGGATTGCACCCTCAGCAAGTTTGGAGATGACACTAAACTGGGAGGAGTGGTAGATATGCTGGAGGGTATGGACAGGATCCAGAGTGATCTAGACAAATTGGAGGATTGGGCCAAAAGAAATCTGATGGGGTTCAGGTTGGAAGAATCCACACCACTCTGGTGTAAGTTAGTCGACGTAGTTAGGAGTCGACGTAACTTAGGTGAATTTACTGTGGTGTCTACACCGCACTGGGTTGATGGGAGACACTCTCCCCTTGACTTACCTTACTCTTTTCGTTCGGGCTTGAATATGGGGGTCGACCAGAGAGCGATCTGCGGTCGATTTGGTGGGTCTTCACTAGACCTGCTAAATCGACCCCAGAGCGTCAATCTGGCTGTAGTGTAGACATATCCTAAGTCTCTGCCAGGCCACTTGCATTGACCTACTTTGTCATGTAGCCCTGGCCTGAGGGCTGAGAGCCCCCCCCCCCCCTTGAGCTGTGCCTCCCGGGCCCCAGTCACTGAAACCATCCCAGCCCCCCGCGCGCTCTGTGTCCCAGCAGGTTTTCTCCCTCTCTGCGGAACGGCCTTGAGGAGAACTACTGCCGGAACCCAGACAGAGATGAGCGGGGTCCCTGGTGCTACACCATGGACCCAGCCGTCCGGCACCAGAGCTGTGGTATCAAGAAGTGTGAAGATGGTGAGTAAACCACCTTCCCCCAAGCACAGGTGCCGACTTTTCCTTTTCCCAGGAGGTGCTCAACCCCCACTTCACCTGAGGCCCCAACCCCGCTCAGCCACTTCCCCCAAGGCCCCGTCTTTGCTCCGTCTCTTCCCGCCTCCACTCTGCCCCCCTCCCCGAGGCTCCCACACACCCACCACTCTCCACCCTCCCCAAGTCGCCCCAACCGCCAAACAGCTGTTTGACAGTGGCACCACCCTCATCAGCTGTTGGGCAGTGGTGTTCCCCCATCACCTGATGAGCTGTGGCCGGTCGGTGCTGAGCACCCACTATTTTTTTTCCATTCATGCTCCAACTCCAGAGCACCCATGGACTCGGCATCTATGGAGTAGCTATCTCCCACGTGAAACGGCCGGACATCTCACCCACTCCGTGTGATGGCTGGATGCCCCCTCCCTCCCCACATGACAGCTGTTGCCTGTGCACCAGCATTCAGGCAACACATGCCCTATCACCCCTGTGCACCGCCATGCACAGATGTGGTGGATCCAGGGTTCTACCCACAAATCCTTGCCTGGCACTAGTCTGCTGGGTGATGGTCTGTGATGTGGGGGGCTCTCCTGGGGGCAGAGCTGGGAGGATTGGGGATGCAATGGATTCTCTGGGTTCAGTGCCAGCGATGTCCATCTGCATAGCTGGCAAAGGCCCTCAGTGCTGCCAGCCTGCGCATGTCCTGCCTCGCTCCATGCCTGAAGCATGATTCTCTCTTGCAGCCGTGTGCGTGTTGTGCAACGGGGAAGATTACCGGGGCCTGGTGGACCACACGGAGTCCGGGCGGGAGTGCCAGCGCTGGGACCTGCAGCATCCCCACAAGCACCCATACCATCCCCACAAGTACCAGCCCTCCCTGCTTGGGGCAGGGATTACTCATCCCCCGCGGGATGGTCTCAGCGTGGGATGGGAACAATCTGGCCTTCGCGGGGCGGGCTCAGGAGGGAGCAGGTCTGGGTGGTGGCGGGGCATCTCAGCACTCTGTCCAGAGCAGAGAGTTCCCCGGGGTCACAGGTTACGGCCCATGGATTCCTAGGGGCTGGGAAGCCTGAGCCCCCAGCGCTACGGAGGCACTGCAGTGAATGCAGACCAGCCAGGGGACATGGCACTCTGGGATGGGCATTAGCAGAGACCCTCTCAGCTGCCAGTGCTGAGCCCCCAGGCTGGCAGTGCAACCTGCAGAGGAGCATTCTTGGCACTGCCCAGACCCACCACCATGTACAGGCAAGGCCCAGCACCGAGATTCTGTGGGTAACATGGATCCTGGCCATGTTCCCCCAAACAGGGCTGGTCACTGCCGAGGGTCAGGCTGGGGCTGCGCTGCAAACCCACTTCCTGGGGGTCCGAGCAGGGGAAGAGCACATCCCAGAGGCTCTTGGACCAGAAAAGGAGCAGAATGTGGCTTTGTAAATATCAAGGTTTCCCTCACCTCTCTCCCCCCGCCTTCTCCCTATCCCATCCAGATACCCTGAGAAGGATCTGGATGACAATTACTGCCGCAACCCTGACAACTCCATGGGCCCCTGGTGCTACACCACAGATCCTGCCCGGGAGCGGGAGTACTGCCACCTCCGCAAATGCAGTAAGTGCTGTGCTGTGGGTGCCAATGGGCATGACTGGGATGTGTTGCCCACACTGCTATGTCCGTATCATTGTTAACCTCACTGATGTGCCCAATCCAGCTCTGGCCCCTGATGGTGTGAGGTCTAGCCACCTAGCAGGGCCACCCAGTGCTGCAGTGCTCGGTTTGCTGCTCCCATGCCTCGGCGGAGTCGAGACATGTAGCCATGACAGACCTTTCCCTGCCAACGCCCCCCTACTGCCACTGCCCAGAACTGCTCTCTGCTCTGCTCCGGTGCAGGGGATGAGTAGTGCCCCAACCCCTCGCACAGCGCCCACCCACTGGCACTCAGGAACATGCTCCATGACCTTAGGGGTATTTCATAGAGCCCATGAGGTCCAACCTCTGGCTCACAGTCCTGAGCGCATGGCAGGGCCCTGCCAGCGAAGCCAGTCCCCTGGTCAGCGGGCTGGTGCTAGGGTGGAAGGTGTCCCAGCTCCCACAACATACACCACTCCTCCCTGCTCCCTGGTGCTCCCAAGCCAGCCCCCAGTGACGCTTGGCCTTTCCTGCTGCCCACATCCACAGAAGCAGAGAAACGCCCACGCCTCGCAGACACCACCACCAGCTGCTTCAAGCACAAAGGCGAAGGCTACCGGGGCAAGGTGAACGTCACCACATCAGGAATCCCCTGCCAGCGCTGGGACGCCCAGACCCCCCACCGGCACCATTTCCGGCCTGAGGCATACGAGTGCAAGTAGGCGATGGAACACTTGGGTGGGGGAGGGAGGAGCTCCTAGAGGTCTATATGCTGGAAGTTCAGGGCGGGGGGCGTCCTTGTGCACCGGAAGAATTCAGTGCGCATCTGTGTAGAGATTGCTGGATGGTCCCTGGGGGCTAGCTGGGGGATGGATAGCTGGGGGACAGGTAGCTGGGGTCCTGGGGGAACTATCTGGAGGAGGGAGTTGCTGGGGGTCCCTGGGGGAAGCTAGTTGGGCGGGGTTGCTGGGGTAACTGGAGGGGGGAGCTAGCTGGGGGAGGGGTCCCTGGGATCCCTATGAGGGGGGAGCTAGCTGGAGAAGGGGTCTCTGGGGGGGGCCTAGCTGGGGGGGAAGGGTTGCCAGGGGGTTCCTGGAGAGGTACCTGGGGGGGGTTACCTGTTCCCCCCAAGATGAGGCCCGGCACCAGTGCACACTGTGCTAGCTGCCTGAATAAACACCCAGGGTCCTGGACCGCATGAATATCTGTGCTGCTCGCTTGAGATGGCTGGGTCCAGACTTCCTGGCTCAGGTCCTGGGTGCTGCAGGCTCCTTCTGTGGCCATGTAGCCATCGGTCTGGCGGCTGCAGCATTGCCCCAGCCAGAGCTGGGCAGGAGGGGCTGGCTCTGCAGCTGGGCGTCACAGAGTGGGAGCCAGCCTGAGGACCCAGCCAGTGCTGGGAGTGTGGTGTGAGGCCAGGGCGGGATCGCTGGTTCTCGGGCTGCAGGGCCTGAGACTCCAGCACAGGTGTGGCCCTGGCCCAGATGGGGTGGCGCCAAACTTGCAGGGGGCCTGCCTGCGAATGCCCATACCTGATGCCACAGCTCGGGTGGAGGTGCTCCTGGCGTGTCTGTGGGGGGCGATCTGGGCATCCAGATCCTTGGAAATTCCAGCCCGCTACCCACAGGAACACCTCCACGGCTGGGCGTGGCTCCCATGTTGGGGGCTGGCAGCTGCTGGACGCTGTATCATTGGCTGGGACGTTCCCAAGCTGAGCTGGTGTGTCTGCCAGGGACCTGCGGGAGAATTACTGCCGGAACCCTGATGGCTCAGAGGCCCCCTGGTGCTTCACCAGTCTGCCCAGCATGCGCGTCGCCTTCTGCTTCCAGATCAAACGCTGCACTGACGAGGTGGAGGTGGAGGGTGAGGACTGCCCTGGTGGGGAGGAGACACTGGGCTGCCCTGCGACTCTTCAATAACAAACCAATTCTCACAGCGCAGTGCCCCAGAGCAACCCTACAATAACTAGTGCCCACAGCCCAGTGCCCAGGAGCGACCCTACAATAAGAAATCATCTAGTTATCTTAGGTGCCTGAATGCAAAAAGCCTGGGGAACAAGCAGGAAGAATTGGAAGTCCTGGCACAGTCAGGGAACTATCATAGAAACATAGATTAGGCTTGGAAGAGACCTCAGGAGGTCATCTAGTCCAACCCCTGCTCAAAGCAGGACCAACACCAACTAAATCATCCCAGCCAGGGCTTTGTCAAGCCGGGCCTTAAAAACCTCTAAGGATAGACATTCCACCACCTTCCTAGGTAATCCAATCCAGTGCTTCACCACCTTCCTAGTGAAACAGTCTTTCCTAATATCCAACCTAGACCTCCCCCACTGCAACTTGAGACCATTGCTCCTTGTTCTGTCATCTTCCACCACTGAGGACAATCGAGCTCCATCTTCTTTGGAACCCCTCTTCAGTTGAAGGCTCTGATCAAATCCCCCCTCACTCTTCTCTTCTACAGACTAAATAAGCCCAGTTCCCTCAGCCTCTCCTCGTAAGTCATGTGCCGCAGCCCCCTAATCATTTTTGTTGCACTCTGCTGGACTCTCTCCAATTTATCCACAGCTTTTCTGTAGTGAGGGGCCCAAAACTGGATGCAATACTCTAGATGTGGCCTCACCAGTGCCGAATAGAGGAGAATAATCACTTTCCTCCATCTGCTGGCAATGCACCTACTAATGCTATGATGTGATTGGAGCACTGTCATGGATGGGTATAAACTGTTCAGCAAGGACACACGGGGGGAGAAAAGGTAGAGGAGTTGCACTATATGTAAGAGAGTAGTATGATTACTCGGAGCTGCAGTATGAACTGGAGAAAAGCCTGTTGAGATTCTTTCGGTTAAGTTTAGAGGTGAGAGCAACAAGGGTGATGTCGTGGTGGGCATCTGCTATAGACCACCAGACCAGGAGGATGAGGTAGACGAGGCTTTCTTCAGACAACTTACAGAATCTTCTATGATTCTATGATCAGTGCACACAGCCCAGTGCCCAGTAGCGACCCTACAATAACAAACCAGTGCACACAGCCCAGTGCCACAGAAGGACCCTACAATAACAAACTAGTGTGGACAGCCCATTGCCCAGGAGCAACCCTACAATAACAGAACACAGTGTGTGTGTTACCTCCTGGGCAGTCTCTGGGGTCTGGGTGCAGAGCAGGGGAGGGAGCACTAGGCTGGCGGTATCAGGATGATCCCTGAGTGGTGTCATGGTGGGGACTGGGGCCAGGGAGTTTGGGTGGGGGGAAGCCGAGCACATCCGGTAATAGCTGTCATTTCCATTTCCTCACCCCAGACTGTTACCATGGAAATGGTGAGCTGTACAGGGGCAAGATCAGCAAGACCCGGAAGGGCATCACTTGCCAGAAGTGGTCAGCAGTATCGCCCCACACACCCCAGTGAGTGCGAGGGTCTCCCTTCCTCCATCAATGTCCCCCACAGCCACTGGGAGAGGTCCCTGACGGGGAGGTCCCTGCACTGGGCCCAGGAACCTAGGCGTGTGACCCTGCCATGGAGCCTGGGTCAAGGCGAGCAGCAGGGCCAGGGGCAGTGGGAATGGCACCGCCTCGGGGGGAGGGTTGTGGGGAGTGTTGGGATGAGGGATGAGAGGTGTGCAAAGGTTGAAGGGTTGGGGGGCTTGAGGGAAACCAGGGTAGCAGGGGGGGTTGAGGAGGCGGCAGGGGAGAGGGCTGAGGGGTGAGGAGCTGAGGGGCAGAGGCAGGAGGGTAGCTGAGGTGTGGGAGTTTGAGGGACAGGGCAGGAGTGTGGCTGGGGGGCAAGGGGTGACAGAGGGACGATGGGCAGGAGAATGGCTGAGGGGCAGGGGGCTGGGGGGAAGGGGCAGGAGGGTGGCTGAGGGGTCTGGGTATCTGAGGGCTGAGGAGCAAGAGAGTGGCTGGAGGGGTCTGAGGGTTGGGGGGGCTGAGGCGCAGCAGAGGGGGGAGGGGTCGTGGTTGAGGGACACAGGGCTGATTTCCCCACCTTCCCCCAGGATCTCTCCTGCCATGTTCCCCGCCATGCACCTCGAGGAGAATTATTGCCGCAACCCTGACAACGACAGCCACGGGCCCTGGTGCTACACCATGGACCCCAGCACCCAGTTTGATTACTGCGCCATCAAGTCCTGTGGTGGGTGCCTGGCATGCAGAGGAGACGGCTCAGTCTCATGGCCGCTGCCCCACGCCATGTTCTCTGGGCAGGGCCGGCTCCAGGCACCAGCTGAGCAAGCAGGTGCTTGGGGCGGCCAAGGGGAAGAGGCAGCACGTCGGGCTCTTCGGCGGCAATTCAGCGGAGGGTCCCTGTCCCTCTCGGAGGGAAGGACCTGCCACCAAATTGCCGCCGAAGAAGAAAGCGGCGCGGTGGAGCTGCCGCCGATCGCGATCGCGGCTTTTTTTTTTTCGCCACTTGGGGCGGCAAAAACCCTGGAGCCGGTCCTGTCTCTGGGGCCTGGCGTCATGCTGCTGAGTTGAGAAAATGCAGTGAGCTCGTGGCCTGGCTCCCCTCTGTTGAGCTGGCCCGTGGTCCAGCCTCCTGTTGACCCAGTGCACCACACTGGTGAGTGGCAAGGCCACTGCCAAGGCCACCTCTCCAAGCCCACAGGCTGGGCTGTCCCCTCCAGGGGCCGTCTCCACTAGGGTTACCATATGTGGAGTGTCCAAAAGGAGGACACTCCACGGGGTCCCGGCCCCGCCCCCAGCCCCGCCCACGCCCCGCCCCAACTCCACCCCTTCCGCAAAGTCCCCGCCCCAACTCCGCCCCCTCCCCTGCTTCCCGCGAACATTTGATTCGCGGGAAGCAGGAAGCAGGTAAGCTAGGGGGTGGGGGGAGGAGGCCCGGGGCCCCGGTGTCTCTAGCCTGGCTCGGCTCGGGCCCTGGGGTGCCGGCCCAGCCCCCGGCCGAGCACCCCCGGGCCAGCCCCGCAGGCCCCCGGCCAGCCAGCACCCCCGGCCCCCAGCCAGCACCCCTGGCCAGCACCCCCGGCCCCGCCGGCCAGCACCCCCGGCC